CACACACACACACACACACACACACACACACACACACACACACACTGCAGTAATGTCAGTGTGTTTACAGAGGGAAACTTCTCTTCTAGCCACACGCCTCACAACAAAAGATGCTCTGTATTTTCTGATATTTTCACTGGAGTCCTGGCAGAAATAAACACGACACGCCTTACAGTAAAAGAGCCCGTTTCTGCCCTCAAACCACACGTTGCACCACCGCTGTGGACCTCGCTCACATTTAATGTATATTTGAAAACTTTTAACCTAACTAAACCAGGCTTTACTTTCATTAAATTTATCCTCGTCTTTAATCTGCTGCTTGTATTATTTATATTTCTCTGCTTGTTTTATAATTTCCTACGCTGGAAATGTTCCTTAAAAGCAACWTTTGATCTTCTACAGACGTTAACTTATATGTGTTTCCTGCTAGTATCTGACCCGTTTCTGTTCATTTGGGATGTTTTGAGATTAAATGGAAACAAAAACTGAAACTTGATGCATTCAGACCAAAACATACAGAAGATATWTACGTATATAACAAAAGATAAGAAGTCAACTTTACCAGGCTTCATATSGAGGATTTTATCTGTGAAGCTGCAGTTTTATAAGTTGTTTCAGACTTCTGGAAGAAAAACTTACATTTCTTTTTTTTTTTTAAATAAAGTAAACCCAGATTTGCTGGAGTTTAAAAATATAAGAAATAATCAGTTCTGAACYATAGAGGAGTATTTATCTCCACAACTCCCAGCTCTCCTGATGGACCAGCTGACCCAAACTCTCCATCTGCAGCAGCTCAACGACTCATTAAAAGGTTTAAATCCTGCAGGAGGTGAAGAAAAAACTACATTTCCACGTTCTTTTACTGGACTCACGTCACTGTTAGCTGAGGCGTTACTAAATAAAGAAAAATAAATAATCTCCGTTTAAAAACAACATTAATGTAAAAACCCTGCGCCTCCTGGTCCTGCAGAACTTTAAACTGAACCATGTTTTGTTGTGCGGTTCAGCTGCTGACCTGCTGCTTGTTGCCTTTGCGTGTCAGCATGACGAACTGCATGGTGTTGGAGTTGTCAGAGTCCCCCTCCACTGCGCACTGCTGTCCGGACCCGCCCTTCTTCAGCTGACTCTTGAGCTGCAGGGGRATGGCCACGTCCAGCTGGTGCACCTTCACTGCCTCGCCGCTCCGCTGCTGCAGAGACAAACACACGAGTCAGGGAAGACCTTACAGGTTTTATCCTATGGAGCTGCATGAGGGACAAAATTAAGACTATTGTGCAACCAGTGGTTCCTACATCCTTGTAGAAGGAGGCTATATCTATTCCTAAACCAGCTTTTCTCTGATTAATGATAGGCCGACACCGCTGACTAGCATAGGCCACAGCTTATCTATGCTAGTCACTAGCCTCTCCAATGCTAACACCAGCTTATCTATGCTAGTCACTCGTCTCTCCAATGCTAACACCAGCTTATCTATGCTAGTCACTCGTCTCTCCAATGCTAACACCAGCTTATCTATGCTAGTCACTCGTCTCTCCAATGCTAA